AAAAAAAAAAACAATTCCTTAAAAAATCTTGCTGGCAAGTTATCTTAAAATTAAAAAGATTTGTACTGTTATTTTAATTTACGATAGCTCTGGACGATAGTCAAATACAATGCTAAGGTGCTTTACCGTGAAGGACAACAGTGCATTCCTTCTAAAAGGAAGTACCAGGGTCGGCACGATAAAGCAGGGCTGTTTCTTTCTAAACGAATGTTTTCATCTTTAACCCCCACCTATTAAAAATAGCGATTGCCATTAAAGCGTTCATTGATTATTCGGAAAGTTAATCTATCAATTGTTCAGCAGCTAATTGTCATTAGATGCGCCGCCTAAGCCTTCGGTGTAGGGGAGCTACTGGCGTTCCTCCCGCACAATGTTGCTGGTGTTGTTATTGTTGTTGTTGTTTTACGTATTACAAACAGCACGTTTCACTTTGTAATAGCTGCAATGTCGATGCCGATGAATTTTTGAAAACTGGAGCGCGTTCACTCAGGGAAAACACCAGTCCTAAGACGAACGCAGACTGACCATGATGTCGTACGTGACAAATTTGAGGCCCGTGTTAACCTTTCTTAGGTGACGTCAAAAAAAAAAATCACCACTCCGTTTTTTTTTTGTTTTTTTTTTTTTCATCTAGGCAGTAGTCAAACTAAGTTCGCTAGGTTCAACCACTATCGCCGTCTCACATCAGCAGATAATATTTTGTTTTGACAATATCTGGCGTGATTACGTGGCAGGCCGAACATTGTTAGAACAAAAGATTATATGCTGATTTATTAAACATATATCAAAGAGGAGAGGGAGTTATGAACGTTATTGCCCCTCTCCAGAGATTATTATCGTTATTCTTGTCCAGCTCGCTCACACTTTTGCATGAATTGCATTTATTGTGCGTGATTGGTTTAGTCGATGATGGTCAATTCCCACCAAGGTGATGAGCGTCGTGACCCGGTCTTCATAAACTATCGTTAGAGCAGCCGATCACCCCCAGGCAGATGAACTGATACCGCGGGTGCCATCAGATGCTCGCAACTTATTCTTATGCACCAAACGTAAGATACAATTCCCGACTTTCCGATTCGCACAGTAAAAAAGAAAACGCATTAAAAAAATACATAAAAAACGGCGTTCGCGATAAAGGATCACGGAAGTATAAAGAAAAGGGTAGTGGATGGCGTTGCATATATGTTAATGTTTCCGGAACTTTTTGTCTTTTCAGAGGACGGGAAGACAAGAAAGCCCCTGGAGGCCTGTATGAAGGGACAAAGAGCGACACGAAAACTCGAGATTTGTATTCATCGCGGACGCGCCGCTCCAGAAGCGCCAAGGCCGACCTTTGACTGCCTGCTGGAACTTTTGCCGTCGGCGAAGAGGACGGTACCGGTGAGCTAAGCCGCAGCCTCCAAGACCTCGGTTATCTTCCGCCAAGTTGGATCCAGAGCTGGGCTGTGGACGCGCTCGCGGCGTTTAATATTCCGCAGAGGTAAGCTACTGCGCATGCGTCTACCACCGCCCAGTGACTCGGCATTTTCACCCGCTTCGCAGGCGGCGAAGGCTACGGTCCCAGTGAGCCAATCGGAGCGTCGAAGAGAGACACGTCCGACGGCAGGGGACATAGCACGTGATCCGCTCTCCGCCCGCCACTGCTTCCCTCCTCCAACGTCATCCCACAGCGGTCGGTCCTAAGGAGAAACGGAACATACAGTTGCGCGCAGTGCTCTCGAAGCCACGTGGCGGGAGAGAGGAAAGACGTATTTCTACCAATTTTGAGCGACGGGCTCCGAGGGGGACAAAAGCGACGTTTGGAACACGCAAAAGAGGACGAGGAGGGTTCCTCCTTCCCCTCTTCTCCAACTTCTTGGGTTACGATATGGTCCCTGTACGGCCTGCAAGTTCGTCCGCTCCTTGAGCACTCGTGCGTTTGTTTACCACCCCCCTTCCCCAAACGCGTTCACCTGCTTTTGTCCCCCCAATAAAAATAATAATAATAATAATAATAATAATAATAATAATAATAATAATCTTTATTTGCACAACCAGGTGTTTTCCTGGGGGCGCGCGAGGCGAGAGAGAAAGGCGGAATCCCGTACGCTGGCGCGTCTGTTGGCCCAACCCCCAGGAAACGAAAACAAAGCTAAACAAAACAAGAAGCACGTAACATACAAATGTAATGAATTTATTAGCCCCGAGAGCGAACACAAGCGTCGCTGCGGTCGCCGCGCCCTGATTGGGTGAGGTGTACCGTGACGTCAGGGGGAGGACTCCGCTCCGCGATCTCGCATCGGCTCGCTTCCCAGCACCGGTTTCCTGGTTTGGCGTTGTGTGCCGCAAGCTCTTCGAGGAGCTGGACTTCGTTTATCCGGTGTACAAGACGTTGAGTTAGGCCGATATTGACGTGCTTCCGTACATTTTATAAGCCTGCTCGTCCCTTTTACTTTTAAAATTGGATTACAAATCCCGAAAGCTATCGGAAGAGGCAATTCCGCCGATGAACCTTCCCGCCCGTCCACACGACACAAGGCAATCTTGCGAGGGGTCGGTGAAGCGGTGGCGCAAGTGTTTCAGACGCTGGAATTCTGTTGCTTGCCTGTTCATGATTTAGGACGATATTACATCCCGCTTTCAAGGCATTTGGAGTGGCGTTTATATCAAGGGCCTTTGGGTGGTCGGCAAATCAGCTCGCGACCCCGACCCTGCGCTTCCACTCTGCACGCGCTGGTTCGCAGATGTTTTAAAGACCCTGCATCTGATGATCTTGGAAGTACTCGTGGAACAGGGCTGTTTTACGTAAATGTAGCTTCTTCGTGAATTAATTAAACTGTTTATACACGTAGTAGTTTATAGTTTATACACGTATGCAGGCATATTTCTTAGAAGAGGCACAATTACTGAAAATTAGTTTGTATGGTAGCAGCAAAAACGGCCGAATTGCCGCCAGTTGCCTGTATGATATGTATTGAAATGCCCAAAATATGCAAAGCAATAGTGCCGTAATTTGGAATGTTTATACTTTTTCCTGACATTCTTTATTCCAGCCTTGGGTATTAAAAAATACACGGTTTAGTCTGAATTGTCATTTCCAATTAAAAGAGACTGCTACAGGTCCCCAAAACCTTCCTCAGCCTTCAAACTCCCTACCGCTGGACTCTCTGCCAACAGAGCAAAACAGGAGTAAAAGCACGCATTAGAACGTCTGTCCAGCGGTAGATGCAGCACTAGTAGCAGAAAATGTGGAACCCGTGAAGGGCGACAGTCTGCGTGAGAAATGCTTCTGGTATTTTAGCTTCAGGACACTTCGATTTAAGTAAAATCTCAATTTTAGGGCTTAAGCGACTGATAACGAGCTAGACACCTTCGCTTACGTTTGTTATACATTACTTGAGGGTTGATATAAACAAGTCCACAAATATCACCCGAGTAGTCCTTTGAAATACTATCCGAATCCAGCAAAGGTTAAATGCGAGCAATATATATAATAAATGTTCCTTTGTTTTTTTTTACTTTGCTCCTGCACTTGGGCTGTCTTACTTTTTCTCCCCATGGCCCAGAGTGTATTTAGCATGTTGCTCGAGGAGCATGCAGCTTTTCTCCTTCGGCGATCTTGTTTAAAACAGATACAAAAGAAAAATAGTATACATAGCCGGCCAATTTATTCAGACCATCGACAGCATTTATTGTGCGAGATGTAAATTATAATGATGCTCCTGCAATTGTGGCCATATTTCTTTATTTTCATATACCAGCTGCGATTCATGCGTTGCCTGCCCTGTCAAGCATGCTTAAAATGTTGGTTGAAGTTTCGCCTGTAGCTACAGGCCATACCTAAATAAAGGCTCATATAAAAATTTACACTTCCTACGGAAAACACGCCTAAAAAAAATGAAATAGAAACGAGCGCGCCGACAGCTAGCGTCGTCACAGCCTCCACAGGGCGAGCGGAGCGAGTCGGGGAAAAATTCTCTCCTCGCCGTGACGTCACCCCGGTTCGCCGTAAGGGGGCGCCACGCGAACTTCTCGGGGCTAATAGGCTCCTTGCACAGGACGTCATTTCCGTTGCCCTCCAAAGAAGAGGGAAAGAAGGAGATCCCCTCTTATCAGGACCCTCCTTTGTACCTCCCGGATTTGTACAGGCGTCGCTATTCTCCCCCCAGAAGATTATAGAAGATTAACCTGCCACTCAAAATTCTTACAAAAGCAGCTTCCCTCTCCTCCTCTTAGTTGGTGTTCAAAAGTGTGCGATGTGACGTCAGTGCAACGTCATTTCCGTTGCCCTCCAAAGAAGAGGGAAAGAAGGAGATCCCCTCTTATCAGGACCCTCCTTTGTACCTCCCGGATTTGTACAGGCGTCGCTATTCTCCCCCCAGAAGATTATAGAAGATTAACCTGCCACTCAAAATTCTTACAAAAGCAGCTTCCCTCTCCTCCTCTTAGTTGGTGTTCAAAAGTGTGCGATGTGACGTCAGTGCAAGGGGCCTATACACAAATAACACTTGCCAAGCACTGATCACACGCGCTTTCATGTGAAATGTATTGAGGAAACACAAAACAATTATTTTCCGCGCTTAATATTTTTCTTTCCGCGTTTGACTACAACCGAAGCAAATCGAATTTCATCAAACGCTCGACCGGCAATCGAAAATCGGAGAACAGAACAAAACAAAAACGACAAAATAAATTGCTGGTTGCAGCGTTGCAGCAGGTTGGATCGTCGGGTGGCAGATGACCCGTAAACAAAACTGAACTCGTTCAATCCGAAGCTGTGTGTGCCTTCCCTGCAGTTACTCATTATTTTGATTGAAAAGTTGTAGGCATTCTAGTATAAGTGAAGACCGCGCTCAACGCCCACGCAGCCTTGGTCGGCGCAACGTTGTTGACCGGCGCGCACCTTTATGGCGCACACATTAGGCCACGGCTACAGTTGCCCCACGGCTAAACCGTCAGACAGCAGCGCCGCCGTCTACCCTGGTGCTTAGGCTGTGTACGAGTGTTGTAAACAAACAAAGCGCTGTCTGTCGTGCGGTCGTGCGTCTCCCCGAGGCTGTCTCGATGGGTGTGAACCTCTTGTATTAAATCGCCGGAGTACTGTGGTGCTGTAAATTCCCAAGCAAGTAGCTCACTCTTGTTATTCCCACTCGAAATACTGTCCACGTGTCGTCACCGCGAACGCGACAACCCGGCCGAGACCGCGAAAGATAACCCGAGCAAGTCGCTGATGTGCCTCTTTCCTGCTCTTTCCGTATCTTTCTTTTTGCTTTCTACAAACATCGCAGTGGCGAGACAGCTCACGTCCGAAACCTCTTGAACGGTCGTGAGTACACGCCCAAATAGCGATCTGTAATTTTTCATTAGCGCTCGCAAGTTCATTGAGATTCGCGCCAACAGTCGTTCAGTTGTCAGTTGTGTCGACGGAACAGTTACTACCGTTGCTTGCAGTGAAAACTCCGATCACGGAATCAAGCCCACATGCAGATTGCTTGTATGAAAAGGGCAGATAAGGGAAATTATTTTCGTGTTCGTCGGCCATTTATCGAAATTGAAAGTTGCAATCGAATTCTTCGCTGCAATTGCATGTGATTATTTATCCGTTTATTATGGTTACAAAGTTTGACTCGTACGTTAGTTGATGATGCAGTGTAAGAACAATCAGTAAGGTGGTGCAAATTTTATAGATCAAAGGGTGAACACCATTGGACTACAGATGAAAATACAGGTATAAGTCACAAGAGAACATAATACGCAGTGTTCACGTGACGTATTAAAAAAGAAATAGGGTGGGCAGTTAAGAAAAGTTGAAACGGGCGTTTGTGAGAAATCCGAAACCGGCTTTTCGCACCGCAAAAATAAACTAGACATTGCAGGGAGCTCCAACTCTATCAAAACGTAGCCCCAGCCGTTTGAGCAAGATGCCAAAGTTTCAGCACAAACTGGTATCTTATTCAAAAGTTAGAAAACGATTTTATAAAAATTTCAATGAAAAATGGCAGCTGACGGTGCTCTCGAATACATAGAGCTCTATGGTGCCAGAAACCACAAACGGGCAAAAATGGGCCCCATTTTCTTATTGGAAATTTAAGACAATCATTAATAACTTTTGAATAAGATAACAATTGGTACTGAAACTTTGACATCTTGCTCGAACGGCTGGGGCTCTGTTCTGACGGAGTTTGAGCTCACTGCGACGCCTAGTTTATTTTTGCGGAGCAAAAAGCCGGGTTCGGATTTCTCACAAGTGCCTGGTATTATAATTTATGGGGAAAGCCTGTCTTGTCTGTTTGTCTTCAATGTCCCTCTTTCCTTATCGTAAAGCCAATAGTATGCACAAATCATGCAAGATAACAGTTAAATGCATTTGCGAATGAATCTACATACATCGAGTGAACAATGCTCTCTGGCAAACGAAACGATTCCATTGAGACACTGCCCGTGGCAAAACACTACTATTTAAAAATTATGTTATTTTGATATTTTGTTGGTAGTCTTTCGTGGCTACTTCATGTGGCTCTGGATGTGTCCCAACCGAGATTGTTAGTTTTACCTATGAAGGTTTCGTCATTTATGATTTGAAGGAGGATAAGAAGGCTATTGTATTGTTTTGTCTCCTCAGGTCCTAATATCTTTTAATCCAACATGGGAAGGGACCGCGGCTTGAGCAAAGGAAAGAAGGATTCCTTCAGCTACCAGCCACCTGTCGACCATTATAGGAAGACTATAGGTAAGTAGTTCAATTTCTTTGCGACCTTTAACAACGAAGAATGAATCATGAAGCAAAAAACATAAACACAGTGAGCCACTCCTTGCATTCTTTATGCTGTCAGTGACTATAGTTAAAAGGCTTCTTAGTAATTAAACTCTGTCAGACATCTTTGACATCGTATTTTTGGGCCTGCCTAATATTTTTGAAATTTGGTAGTCAATTTTTGACAAAAGCAGACTAAGCATGTGTGCAAGTGGGCCTGGAGGTATTCACTGCTTAGGCTTAATGCCAAAACTATATTGTGTGGCACTCGAATTGTATGTAACTAAATAATAATGAGAGTGACATCTGAGCATGCCTTGGCTTATGAGTGGGCTTCAACTCATATGAAGTGTGGAGATAGTTCACACCAGCGTCATACTGTGTAACTTCTTTGCTTTTAATTTCTGAAAGGATGTTTTATGTTTCGAATTGCTCAAGGACCCTTTCTTTGGCGCTTCAACAAACCTTCGCAACTGTTTCAGTTCCCGTTTGATTAGCCATGATAACCTTTTGGCAGGAAAACAGGACTACAAGAAATCCAGGACAGAACTGAAAGAGTCGAAGAAGCGAGCGCAGTCGAAGAAGACCACATCGAAAACGTACAGGGTAGGTAGATTGATGTATACATTCCCCCGTGAAGTGTGAAGGCATTGCGTACAACAGCACAATGCGCGCACCTGTTTCGGATACTTGCGTTCAAATTTGCACAGCAGCAGTCCTTTTCATCTTGCAGCTGTTTTCACCATGCCGCATTGTTTGCTATACAAAGGCATTCAGTGCTCAATCATCTTGCAGTTTCTGTATAGTATCCATTATTGACCAAGGAGTGTATGGTCCTTTCTTGTTCTTTTCTGCTTTATATATATATATATATATATTTTTTTTTTACATTAAGGGACTTAAATGAAACATCAGCCCTTTGACAGTCGCCACCGTACATGTGTGGTGGCGATTACACAGTTTAAAGCGCCCACCTGAATGCGAAACCGTGTGCATCGCAGGAGGTGTTGCCATTTGTTTTGTTTTTGGCGAACTAGAAACTTTATATTTGCGCAGTGTTATTTATGGTTTTCAGGTTGGACGCTCTGCACACGTAATACTATGCAAAGAGATGGATCGCTTCGCATGTTGGCTGCTTTGGCAGTAGTGGAAATTGGAGCGCTGGCTCTTTCGATTAATTCATTTATTGCTACTCATAATCGAATTCAAAGAACGCGAACTTACCATCTAACAAAGAAGCTCTGTGATGTACCTCCGGTTCGAAATCTGAAACCACCGGAATGTCGTAGAAGAGGATGTGCCGAAACGAAACGAAATGAAAGGAAAGTTTTCACCTTCGATATATCCGTTTGACGTTTCTAAAGCTGAATGGCTTGCAAGTACTGTGTGTGTTCCTGCTAGATAAATAAGAAAAAAACCTGTGCATTGACTGTTTCTTTACACTATCCTTGGGAAACAAAGCCCGACCACTGGGAAACATCTTTCGGAGAAAAAAAAAACAACCTTAAAAGGGTTAACGAGACACGGGAGGCAAATGTGCTAACTCATCCTCAGCAGGGCTAAAAATCTTTTCCTTTCCCATCCTTTTTTTTTTTCTTTTTCATTTGTTTCAGAGCAGTTATTGCGGTCACCTTGCTGCCGAGCGCATACCATTCGCAGCACATGTTCCGCACCACCGAATTTTTTTAATTTTTTCGGCGCGAACAAGTGCGAATGACCGCCGGCATGGTGCTTCGACATCACGAGCAGGCCATGTACGAGAGCAAAAAAAAGCCATCTATGTGCAAGCTTCGAAGGACTAGAGTCTTTAGACTTAAGGCCCGTTCACACTCTTGCGACTGCTTGCGACCTCTTAAACCTGGGTTCCTTAAAACTTCTTAAACCAGAGAACACACTGGCGCCATCTATTGGGAAGCAGTGTAAACTCGGCGGTCCGGCATATTTTTTTTTATTTCTCGCGCAATATCCTTTCTTTTTTGGCTCGAAAAACTTTTGTCAATGTTATAAACGAGCCTTTCTATGGGTATTACGCACATTTGACCTCGGAAATCCCGCAAAACCTTCGCTTTTGTGAAATGCAGTTCTAGGGTCACCGCATAGATGGCGCCACAATGTCAGTGTGTTCCCTCATTCTAGAAACATTTAAGAAGTTGTAAGAGATCTCGTCTCTCTCAGTCGTACTCGGTCGCAAGAGTGTGAACGGGCCTTTAGAGTCACTGTGTGAGGCAACTTTCCCTGCAAAAGTAACAAGCTTTTCATTGTGCCGCCTCTCTCCACGATTGGTCAGAAAGGATTGCATGCATTAACCTTGGAGGCAGTTTGAGCTGGCTCAAATCCCGTGACACCCGACCGTGCCGAGGGTTGCCGAACGCTCTCAAACGGGATTTGGCCTTCGTCTGCTCTAGAGTCACAAAATAGGCTACGCTTCAGAGTAGAGACATTTCGACCACCTTGGGGTTTAAAATTATAATTGCCAGTCGTCCAAAGCTTTGTTAAAGTTGCAGAAAATGCTTTCCTGTCCTTCAGAAATGTTATTGGAAGCGTGCGACAAGACTGGGTAGCGCCACAGTGCGGCTCCTAGACGAGGCGTTTCGCATAAACCACAACTAGACTGGCATAGAGATCCGGCGTAGTGGCCAGCCTTAGTTTATAATTAATATCCGCTTATCCAAGCACATTGCTGTATACAAAACGTTTGGGGCGCATAGTCGGTGCTAAGTTTTTCCATGCAAGACCTGAATATTAAGAACACGGATCCCTTCTGTGCGCCAGCGAAAGGCATCCTCAATCGTCTGAACTTCACTATGGCTACTCAATCTGTTGGCAAGCAAAAAGCAATCCAGTAAAAAGAGTAATGAAAAATGCTTCTCGCATAGATTTTATCGATTACTGGCACCAGTGAATGTCGTCCCGTGGCAATTTCACAACCGTCGAAAACACAATTACTTCGTACGTGCATCTTCCAGCTCAGGTATATATTTAAGTAAAAAAACGACGACATGTCGCCGCCGTTGCCACTTGCAGCTGCGGGACACACAATTGAACCCGGGCTTTGAGCAACTCCCGCAAGTCGCAAGCAAAAAACACATACAGAGCGACGCTGGATGGAGGGTAGGTTTCGAATGCTAAGGTGCCAAATCTTTACTCCGGAGCTAGATGGAGAAGCGCGGTCGCGGGACCCCGGTGTAAGGTAGTGTGGCAAAACGCCATTTATTTTCGTTTAAGATTGTTCCATGTTATATTAAGCGGCGAAATGCCAAAGAACGAAATGGACTTCTTCCAAAACCGACGCGCCCCATCGCGGCGAAATACCACGCAGTGCACTCTGGGAACTAGTTGGCCACTCAGTTTCGGTTTCGACTGAGCAGCTTCATCTCATGCTATCACGCCGCGACCGAACGCGCTGCTTGCGTTTTCGATTATCTGACTTTTCAAGAACGTACAATACACTCATTCTCGAGCGATACAAAACGAAGACCGGGGCACTTTCCTTGGTTCCCGAAACACCGGATATTGTGCGTGCGTATGCGAACGTAGTAAGTCGTGGCTTAGTCACCTCACCCCAGGAGTGCATCTTTGAGCTCAATGTCAGTAATCCCGTCTAGTACTAGTGAACTACAACTGAAATTTGTTCGTCTGGATCCTTACACGCATTTTGTTTGCCAAATGTCTGCTTCTCGTTACTTCATTGGGCGAAAAGCAAGCCGCATCCTCACAGGAGTATCAAAGCTGAACCCAGCGTTGACGCATAAACTTGTAAGAAAACGCAATAAATTCGACCTCACTACTGCACAAAAGTTACTATGATGTCTTCCTCGTGTCATCATATATCTCCCACTAGAATTTTATGCTGATAAAAGATTAACTTTTCGCAAACGCTGAGATCGGCTAGCTACGACGGAGGCCATAACAAGCGTCCCCTACTCCTCGCTAAGCCTTTTTGGACGAGCTTTTACTGACGCCCGAGATCTGTGCCGGGAACGGTGTGTCTGAAATTATCTCGGCATACTCAGGCAGGAAGAAAGCAAACACATAACAAATATTATGGCCATTAGCAGCCGTCAAATGCGCTTTGAATTCGTTCGAGCACTTGTCTGAAGAATGTCGCACCGTGCGCCGGACGGGCATGCATGAACCCCAGTGCGGTGCGCATAGGGGTTCATGCCCGTCTGACGCACTACCGGCGAATGGTGCGACATTCTTCACACAAGTGCTCGACTTTTGCATTCTTAAAACGGCCTGTATGCGCGAATTTGCCTATATGATTGCAGGATAGCTTTATGCGCATACGCGATGTTGAATATTAGTGGAATGCAAGTGGGTGGGGGGGACTTCACTTCGTGCAGTGCTGCGGGTCAGTACAGATAAGAGATAAGTGTGTTAAAATTGAGCTTTTCAATGGCACCTCCGAGTTTTACCTCGCGTACTCAGGCACATTAAAATAAACAGTAATTGCAAAAAGTAATATTTCGCCTATGGACGCACGAAGCAAACTTCCCGGTCAACAGCACTAATGTAAAGGTGCGAGCTCGATATATGCATACTTATTGGTTGCTACAGCTTGTTGATTCGTACACAAGCAAGATCTCCGAGCACCCGAGCTTCGCAGCGTCGAGATTCCCAGCACTGGCTCGTCCACATACCTCGATTGGAACGCTAACAGGAAGGCTCAAGTACAAAAATACGACAAGCATGTGTTAAGACAAGCTATACGTCTCGGGATTGTGCTAAAGCTTCGAGGCATGACCATTTAGGTTAGTTTAGAGACCACAAATGACGCTCTCGGGACCAGAAAACAAACTCTTGTCGACGTGTCGATCGAAACCGAAACCATGCCACCCTCCTCCCTGGCCAACTAGTTCCCAGAGTGCAACGCGCGCCGTGTTGCATGCAGGGCTTTATGGAAGTAGTCTATTGGCTCGGACCAACAGGCTTTTTTTCAAAGATGCGCCTTTTGTCCGGTGTCATATAACTAGGGTGCGGGGGCCATCTGGAACCTGGGGACCGTCCGTGCGAGTTATGACCGGGGAGCGGGGCTGGCCTCGCCTCACCAGAGCGACCCCTCCGCGGCTCCCCGGACCCCACTGCAAAGAAGCGGGACCTTGTTAATGTATTCTTTGAAAACTCATTTCCCACTTGCTCTGGTTCTGTTGTCGCTTGCTTCGCTTTTAGAAGTTTGCTTTGATTTTGTTGTTGCTTGCTTCGCTTTTAGAAGCTTGCTTTGGTTCGTTTCGCTGGCTTGGGTTTGAGAGGTTTGCTTTGGTCTTTTCCCACGGAATGAGTCAGTCTGGAACTGGGAGCGGAGAGAGACGTTCTCAGCAACACCCTCCTAACCCACACTCCGGCAACAAGTGCGCCGATATCTGGCACCGTACTATTTCTGAAACCTTGTCCGATTGATAGTCCTGAATTTTCTATTAAATTACTTTTCACCTTTACGAGCGTCTGAGCGGTTTGGTGGTCTGCCAGCGAAGTCACAGGTGTGAGCAGAATTGCTGGACGTCCGGAAGCTTTTCAACGAGCGACGCCCAGCAGCGACGAAACATCCATCGTCGACCGAACAACGAAGCAAAAGAACATTTACGCCCAGCAGCGACGAAACATCCATTGTCGACCGAACAACAAAGCGAAGGAACCTTTACTCCCAGGACCCCACGGGTCGAATAGAATAGGTTGGAGCGGGCAGCGTTTCACTATGCAACGCAATGTGGATGCCGCCAACCAGCTGCTAAGGAGGAGCGCTGTGCCCCCTTTAGGTGTCGCAGATCCTCAATAACGGTCCACAACATAGTAAAAAAAATTTAGCCCGAGCTTCCCATTGCAGCGCCCGGTGCTCAGGAAGAAGCATTTTTTTAACTGTAACCGTCGGCGCCCTCTCTGCACTGAGCAACCGAATGGTGGTGCTTGCAAGACTGTCGGGGATGGAGTGCAAGAACTTCGAGCGTAGCTTGTTTGGTGGCTCTAGTCTGCTCTTCCTGCCAATACTCTGCCCTCCGAAGGTGTAAAGTTTCAAACTTTATTATTCCAGGCGAAAGGGTACAGATACACAGACTCTGATCCATAGCCAAAAGCTAGTGACAAAGCCATCAAAAAGAAATACTAATATGAACCCTTACAACTCGAGGCGCCCACAAATAAATGTCAAAATTGTGACAAACATTGAAATTGGCGCGGTCTATAAACATTGTCAAAGCAACGAAGCATTGTTTTGATGAATTACATGTTTTGTGACGTAGTAAATGTATGAAGTTTGATTGCTTCATCTGTAAATGCTGCGTAATAAAGTAAATGTTAACCTTTCTTACACTTTTGCTAATGTTTGCTGATGGTGGGATAAGTATTCCACTCACATTTGGGTTACTTATGACAAGAAAACAAATTTTTTTAGGTGTAGTGTTTTTGTTAAAGGAATATAAATATTCAATGGAATATTATTCCATACTTTGGTACCAATATGTTCTATTTGCTGCTGGCCATAGTCGTTATGGAATGTTGGGACTTTCTGAAATGAAGCAGGAATTAGTCTTTTGTGAACTAAATATACCAGGAGGGAAGTGAGCCTGGTTACGTATTAATTTGCTAACCAATAGCACTAGGTGATGGTGCTGCAAGCTTAGCACAGGCATCATTCAATTTTAACATGGTTCTGAATGGGTACCAACAGCTACAAAATTCGTAATCGTCAGAACTTTCTTCTGCAGGGTGTCTGGCAAATTATTATATTGAAATTCCCTGACTTTTCCGGGTTTTCCCTGACAATTTCAGGTGAAATTCCCTGACCACTGTAGAGGCAGTTAAGTATACGAGACCATTACAACACAAAGCATTGAGCATCGAGCACTGCGAGGGTCATTTTGCACGAGCTTAATCCAACTTGCATATTCCGAAATATTCGGGTTCATCCGCCTCAGAGAAACGAGCACTTTCTTGCCGCTGACATCGCCAGCGAAGAGGCCACTTCCGGAAACACAATCAAAACACGACGCTCATTTTGCACGAGCTTAATCCAACTTGCATATTCCGAAATATTCGGGTTCATCCACCACGGAGAAACGAGCACTTTCTTGCCGCCGACATCGTCAGCGAAGAGGCCACTTCCGGAAACACAATCAAAACACGACGCTCAACCACACACGTCAATAACCAAATGGCAGGATGGCCGCATGGCCGCCAGATGCTCACTTTCGACTTAAGGTTTGGATTAAATTACGGTCTGCGGCTTCTTCAATGGTTACTAAATCTAGTAGCTTTAACTTAATCTAGCCTAGTGTTGTGCCCTCATTCCAATTCAATCCATTTTAAGGTTTGGATTGGATTTGTCGGCTCTTCCCTTTGCATCAGGTAGCATACTCTACATCGGGTGAGCAGGGCCTGCGCTCCACTTTAAGCAGAATTTATTGCCTATTTTTCTGCCCCCAAGTCGTCGAGCCTTTGCTCAGTGAACTCGATGGCGTTTCCGGCTCATTTTCCCTGACAGGGCTCAGTTTTTGATAATAACCCTGACAATTCCCTGATCTTTCCCGGCAATTAAAATTTCCCTGACAATTCCCAGTTTTTCCAGTCGTTAGACACCTTGCTTCTGTAACTTCATGATAGGCTTGAGTTTGCATTGGTATCACTTCTCTGTCTAAGTTGAATAATCTTTGCCTATATTCTCATTGCTATTCCATGTCCCAGACTTAAATCAACATGCTTGGGTTAAAGAAGCAATTAAGTTTAATAAAATAGTCACAAGGGGCTTCTAGGAATCTCATTGTAAGTCATTTTCAGGACCAAAATGAGAGTACTACTATTGCTTCTAATATTGTGCATCTAGTTTTGTCTCTTAGAGCTTATGCTGCCATATACAGTGGCCCCCGTATCTCATATGTAAGGGGGCAATGCAGCCAGTCTAGTATGACTGCTTAGTGACCACGTGCAGCAATTGAATGTCTGCAAACCTGGTTGCTTCTACAGTGCATTTTTACCTCCATTCACAATGTGTTTACTAGGGGTGTGTGAATATTATTTATTTTCTAGAATATGAATAGTTAGTTTTGAAAATTGTATCAAATGTTGAATAGTCAAAGGCAGATGCATGTATTCAGAACAGCATTTTTATTTTCACATGTTGAAACACCCCAGCTGTGTTGACGAGAATAAAAAGGTATTTAGAGTTTGCATTGCCTGCTCTGGCAGGAGCTTGCTACGGCACATAAAGTCTGTCAGCATTGGTTGATCTTTTCCTGACATACCCGCAGCAATTTCTCAATAATATCTCATCAAGGCTGGATCCAGTTTTAAATGGTTAACAGGGGGGCGTTGCGCTACTTCTCGGTATTGTGAAGTGTCGAGTCGCATGTCGTGCATTGCACCATTGATGCCATCACCCCCGCAAAGAATTTCCAAATGGTGCCCCCCCTCCCTTCTTCGGCTTGGCGCCGTCTCCCCTTCATTCCGCAGACTGTTCGCTGCACTCATCTTCGTCCGCCGTAGTACGGGCGAACAAAGTAGTGCCATACCAGATGCACAATAGTATAGTTGTAAAATCAGTCGAACGACGGGTTAAATAGTCAAAATAAGAATGCTAAAGCCACAGATTACTCCATCGCTGACTGGAAGGTCTGAGTGCAAAGCACAGACCATTCAATAGGGGATGCGGTAGCTGTCTCTGTGTGCCTCGCTCACTGCAACCGAGAGAACTTGTGCTTGCAAATGTGTTCTCGATTATTCGATTACTTGCGAACATTCGTAGCATTTCGAATATTTTAAAAATATAGAAGACTTGGTTTACAAATCAAATATGAATATTAAATTCATAATATTCGATTCATATTCAAAGTTTCAAATATTTCCTCATGCCTAGTATTTTTATATCCTAAGACATGCTTTTGCATCACCATGACTGACTGGACTGCTCTGTCCAGTTCTTTAAACACTAACTCATCTTGCTCGAGAAACCTTTTTTTCACATACGACGTTGTTGCACATGGGCACTCGTAAAATCTACCTCAGCCTAACAAATTGTATTTGTTCGTGTTGCAGGAAATTGGCAAAATGTTGGCGGTCCTGATTGCAGCTTTGTCTCTGGGCTACTTCATTTCCTACGTGTTCCTGACTCAAGGCATTTCCTCCCTGTGGAGCTCGCCCCTGAAATGAACAGACGGCAGCTTGGTTGTCAGCGGAAGCAGTTCCTACATTGAGACCATGCTGAAATGTCGCTGGGAGCTTTTTACCTTTCCAAGTCACATGCACTGCCATTCTTGCATTCCGCGTGTGGTTTGCACGTTTCTCATTTGCTCCGAGAAAGATGTGTGCTACGGACTATGAGTCGCATAGTTGCTTCCCCATCTTAAGGTTGCAATAATGGATCCTTCTATGGTTTTTACTTCCGCATTCATTTTTCGAAGAACTCGGACGGTCGTCGCAAAAGTTACACGTGACCGTCCGGACTGATCTCACAGAATTCTAGTACAAGGCATACATATGCGATTCCGCACAGAGCTTGTGGGTGTTGCAACTGCCATATCGAGCTTCACTCCACTTTTGCTTTGGGACCAATCTATTTACGACACAGTGCAAAGAAATAAAATGCTATACGTTGTACAACCTGGCGCCTTTCTCGTTGTCAGAAACATTGTCTGTTCGCAAATTGCGAAGGCAACTTCTCCATTTTGACACTTTCAAGCATGCTTTGCGAGTTGGCAAAAATGCCGACCACCATGCACCTCCGCAGACATGGTATGGTGCAAAACGTTTGCAGCTCCAGCAACGTATGTGCCACACCTCAATGGAGAACATGCAGAAAGAAAGAATGAAAATGCTTAGCGGCAGCTTAGTGGCACCCGTCGGCTAAAATTACTCATGTCGCCGACAGAACAAGAACGGCAGAATGTCTCTTTCCGATACCTAACCTCCAGCAAACGCGCCCGTTGCCTTTTGCCGTGCTTTGGCTGCGCATGCACACGGGAACTTAACAAGGCCCCCAAGTATTACCGAGGGTAGGAGGCTTACGCTGGAGGTGGGGAAACTAAAAGACATCCCCTTCCTTCTCAGTCTGTCGGTGATTATAGCTGTTGACCTGCCTTCGGTACCCTCAGTCAGTACCAGTGCAAAGATGGAAATGAAATAACTACAATTTGTGTTTTTCGCTATCACAGAACAGGGGTCTCAAACGTGTGCATGCTCAGACACGACCTGCAAGCATCCCACGGCCGTAACGGTCTCGTGGCAACCGTTCGTTCCTGCTCAAAACTTAGCTCTGCCCTTAAGTGTTCAGATATTTTAAACTATTCTATGCCTCTTTTTGCATTGTTTGTCTTAATTTTTGCTTCTCGGCTCTTTCTCACGTTAATTGCCAGTACAAAGATCTCGCTACGAGGCTGCAAGCGCGAGCTTCTTGGTCACAGACCAAGAATCGACTGCACAAACTTCCACTCGCCAGGAACAATACACCGATCTCACCAAGCATCCCGCGCATGTGTGAAGCCGCCATAACTTTAGTGCACAAGAGGTAGGCGGCAGTGTTTGAGACACCTGGTCCCGTCTCCTGTTCTACACGCGCAGAGCTTCAGCGAGGTTCGATCACATGCAGAAAGACTGTTCCCTCCATGGATTGCGGCAGCGGTGGCATAGCCAAACTGGCCGGTGCAATCGGTCTATTGCTTCCAAATATGAAGCTTTGAGCTCTGCCTTCTTGCCTTCCGGAGATATCAGTAAAACACAAGTACTTTCCTATAATGTTTCTATAAAACTCGTCATAAAAAAGAAAAAACTGTTGTATAAAAATACTTTTTGGCACGTTGAGCTCGATTAATTCCAGAGTAATTTGAGCAACGGGGGCAGTGAAGTATATCTGCTCCCTTGTTCTACTGAAAAATGCCAGCATGTTGAAGAGGCTTTGCTATTTTATATCTTGTTATAACATCAGGTAAGGGCCCAAAGTGCTTGTATGAACAAATGTTCACTGGCAATATATGGGAAGTTTAGAAGAAGCAGAGAAGACTAGGCTCCTTCTATAGACCTTTTCTGCTTACTCTCGCCCCCGGCCGCCAAGAAGGCATATCCGGTATGGGCGACGAAAAAATATTAAAACGTTTCAACCTGCAAATAGTAAAAAAATAAAGGGGAGACAAAACGAGAATGGGCGACAGTCACGTTCCTGAAGTGACGGTTAAAGTGGAAGATGAAGAAGGGGAAAAGCTCGAGCACAAAGGAAAAGGATAAGCTCGCGAGAGAAGATGACATTCGACGACTGAACCTGAAGGGCGGCAGTTGAGCCGCCAACGCTCCCGGCAGACCAGGCTTCGCTCCTGGTGAACCCTGGCTCCGCTCCAGGTCTTCTCGCCGCCATCGAGCCGGAGCGACGTTGTGCTTGCTGCTCGCACCAGAAGCTCAAAGCATCGGACTTTGAGCTCGAAGACGGACGCGAAGGGGTGTCCTCGCAACACTCCTGTCAACCCAGGCCGCGTACCTGGTTGGTCAAGCGACACCATCGAAGCGGTGCTGGGTGGCCCAGACCTCCTAGCAAGCTTGGACCCACACCCGTAACATCGAAGAACAAGGCCTGGTTCCGGCCTAAGCAAGATCGACGCTCAAGACTGTCAGTGTTCTCAGCTCCCACTTAAAGACGACCGAGACTGACTGTAGTGACTGTAGCTATTTAATCACTCTATTTTTTTTTTTCCTTTCGCTTCCGCTTATAATTTTGTTCTCTGTTCTGCCTTTTTTTTGTGCTTGTGAGTAAATTGATTTTTGTTTGTCTATTTATGTGTCGCTTTGTCTTTTGACCTGCCCTCGTCCCCTCGGAGGAACATGACAGTGACGGTTACGCTTATCTCCTAAATGCATTCTATTGGCGTGGCGACGGCAAAACAATGTTTTTGCTTATACTGGAAATGACGATATTTCAAGATGGTGGCGCCCTTGTGAAAAAGGTCTATATAAATCCCTAAGGTGTCAGCTACTGTACAAAGTAAAAAACGATTGCTGCATTTTATTTTTTTTTCCTATCCTGCAAGAGCAATTACCATTTAAAAGGAAGGTGAAGAGGCTCTTGAAAAAAAATTATGAGTTAGAAGTGAATTCTAGAGTATTTTTCTCATGTGAATTTGAATATTGCAAGGATACGACCCAAATGTATCGAAAGACGCGAGAAAAACCTAAAAAACAACCACTGGGTGTGATGTCATACCTGGAGGTTTCAGCTGTCTTGCACATGCCGCTTGTGAGGGAACATGTGCAGCGCTTGTGACTGCTCGGGTAAGGCTTGCAGAAAGCACGGAGATGTTGAGATCTCTCCCTTCTTGCCTGAACGCGACGGGAAGGAAGGGTCTCAGCGCTATTTTGAAGGCGCTGTTGTGGCTACTTGGCTTATCAATCTGAAATATAATTTTGGTATTCATGATCCTGGAGGCCAAATAAAGACGATTTAAGTGTTTTTTCTCAAATACAAGACCGCTTCAGTTTCTCTTTAAATGGGAGTTGCGAGTGAAATCATTTTTACCTGCCAAAATACGTTCCGGGCGCCCAGTCAAAGACCCATGGAACGCTCTTTGTGTCGTTTGTAGACGGGTTGTTCTACAGAAGACGCCCCTGTATTAAACTAACCAGCACTTGGAAGTTGTGCCATGCTCAAGCCACCTAGCTTCAGCCAACATTATGACGAATGATGCCAAGTTATCACACAGGACTTTATGGTCTCTAGAAAGTTTCAGCAAAGGTCATGACATGCAAAGCTCTGTTGTTAAACTTTCACTTTTACACTCAATTTGCCTGCACTGCAAAGCTGTAGTAATTGTTTCTTTTTTCCAAGCAGCTCGTGCTTTTGCAAGCTTTACTTGTGGTACTGCCTTCTATAATTTGTGAATCTCTTGTCATCATTGAGGGATTTTTTTTTTTTTTAACTTCACGAAAATGTTAATGCTTCATGTCCTAATCACACTTGCACTGCTCTTTTACGCCCTTCCAACTATTTTGTGATGTTGTCCAAGACAGATATACCTGTGCACGAAAACTATTGGCCCAGTTCATGAAGGCAAGAAGCCCAGTAGAAATGCTTTGAGTGGGCACAGCACTTGCAGTGGTTAAGTACAAGTTTTTTTGGTCTAGACATGAGCCAGGTTCAGAACAGAAACTGGGTCAATGTTCTACTGCACTGAATCTATAGTCGGTGACAGGTCAAGAACAAAGTGGAAGCTCGTCCCACCTCTTTCCACTTTAGTAGTGTAAATGCTGGAGGGGAGGCAACCTCCTCTCCACCGTTCGCTCCGCTCAAGTGGAAAGGGCAGGAGCTTCCACTTCGTTCTTGACCTGTCACCGACTATAGGGAGCCTTTTGTTCTTAAACTGCATCAGGCTGCAATGGGATGATACAGATATGGGAGACAGATTGTGCTAAATACCACAGTTCATACAGTCAAACCTCCAGACTGAAGACATTAACAAGGTACTGCTTGGATTAAACTGAGAGAAGAGAAGAAGTACAGGCAAGCTGGTGAATTGCAGACGTAACTAATGCCGAGACACCGGAAGAAGGAAAAAGGAGGACAGAAAAAAGAGGACGACACACACAATGTCTTGACATCTCGAGACGTGTGTGTCGTCCTCTTTTTCCTTCTTCCGCTGTCTCAGGTTTAGTTATGTCTACTAGATTAAACTGGTTAATTAGGCTAGTTGGTTGGTGGTACTGGAGATAATAAAGAGGTCAATCATTCCAAACTGAAATTTCTGTACCAAAGGCTCAAACCGAAATTTATGTACCGAAGACTCAAATTTCGAGCCTTTGGTAGAGCTCGAACCTGAAGGGTGGCAACACCTGTTGCATGAGTAGAAACTGAAGGGAATAAGCTTTCATCTCATTTTTCTTTTCTACTAAGTGTACAATGTTCCGTGTACCATAATATCCCAAGAGATAGCCCACCTAAAATCGAAAGTGAATCAGGTAAAAATAAGGAGTATGTTAACTTTCAGTGTGCGATAAAAAAAAAAAAGTTGAAAAGTGCTAGTTTTAAATCTTGTAACCCGCGAAACTTGTGATCACAGTGAGAGAGCGATGAACCAAATTTGACTGTAGTTCCCAGTCAGAAATGTTTGCTTATCTCCCACCATAGCCAAGTAATACCATTCCTGCCAAGGTCAATATTGGCCAGGGCCCTGCAATTATGGTCAGATACAACCTAAGAAAGGCAGTGCAAGGGGAAAAGAGCAGAAACTAGGAAAGCTGAAGTGGAGAAGGGCCACCTCCTTTCCACAACGACTTTTCTTGTGCGCAACCTTTTCCCCCTCACACTGTCTTTCTTAGGTGGTATCTGACTATAGTAGAAGTGGGCTCTCGTTCGATGTTTTTGAAAAAATAGCAAATCATGCCAAAAATATGTGTGGCTTATGTTTCGGTTGTATCTGTACCATAATATCTCTCAAGATATTATGGTATATGTATATATATATATTTTTTTAGCTGAAGGAAATAGGATAGGTTTTTGTTTGAAATAATGTGTTCCATAAAAATATTGTTTGGCGAGAGTACTGCTCAAATGTTAAAAGAGATCATCTCAAATAAACAGGAAGCCATGTGTGTAGTAAATAAAGTAGCATCTGCATTTTCTTGTCTTTACAGGCAATAAAAAGTTAGTTTTCACGGTAACTAACATTTCTAGAATTGGGTAACCTCTGACCCCCGATGGGTACTTTGATCGATGAGTAACTTGGTAGCATAACTTGATTGCTTTTTCTCAGTAATTTATACATACAAGCAATCAAAACTCAGGGCACCACACAGCATTCTTTTTGCCTTGCCTGGCTAGTAACAAACGCAACGGTGGTTGTTCCTTGCCACACACAGAGCTCAGTTGCCAATCATTCAACTTCCATGGCACATCCCGACATGCAAGCTGTATTCAAAGTTTGTATCCTTGGAATGGCTGCCAGTGTTCCTCCCCTCTCAGACTTTTGCCAGCGGGTTGCTCACGATGGGCTTTGGCCTTGCACGGAACACCAACTTCTTAGTCACAACTCCCTCAACATGGTATTCCCTGGCAGTGTGCTTCGACGTGCCATTGCTTGCAGACTCCTGCATCACCTTTCTCATCACCAAGAACGGCTTCTCAGCCTTTTGCTCTTTGCCGTACAGGACATGGTGGCCAACCAGCAGCACCGGCACACCCTGAAAGTGCAAGCATTTCCCTGTAAGTACTGGGGGGATCGGGGGCCGAGTGGGTTAGCGCACACCAACTCGGAGCACGTGGAGCGAAAGTTTGCGCTGCAGAACCCAGGGATCCTAATCTCAATCCCCACCCCTGCCCGTTTCGATCTAGATGATCATCGTATCGGCGTGCAGTCGTGTATCACTACTGCGTGGTGCACGTTAAAGACCCCAGGCTAGCAGTTCTACTGCACTGGCTAAACCGCTCATCTACAGCTGAGACGCCCACTGAGGCAGACTAACTTCTGGCTGTATAAACATACACACAACAATTTGCTTGCCTGTAAGTACTGTGCTTCTGTGGTGTTGCAAACCCTTCAGGGTCGATTAATTATTATTACGTATCATTATTATTTGAAATGGATGCATAATGGTCTCGAATGGACTTTCACTGCCTTGGAAGCCTACCGGCCCGCCTTCTCACACCACCAGCCTCGCGCCTGTTTGCACGGGGAGGCACTCACTTGATCGAATGACGTTTTAGCGAACTCCCACGTTTCATCGAACGAGTGGGAAGTTTAGCGCACTACCATACTTTCCACGCGCTTCGGGTTTTTCTAAAATTCACGAATATATTGGTTCTCTAAGAGGCTTCTCATTTCAACCATAAGTTTATTTTCAGTAATTAAAAACGTCATTAATGCATTTTAGATAATTATTCGCCTTATCGTGAAGAGATTAGCCCACACAAACCGCACTAGGGTACTTTTCACAACTGTTCTGTTTTTTTCTTTCTCTCTAGACTGAGGTTCGATCGAATTAAAATCGAACACCCTGTAAAATAAAGACCTCGTGCGTACGTTTTCGCGGGAGGCACTCACTTGATCGAATGACGTTTTAGCGAACGCCCAATGTTTCACCGAATGACCACTTTAGCAAATCAATTCAACTTACCGCTTTAGTGTAGTGGAGATCTCCGATGTACTTTCCGAGGAAGCTGCTGTCATGTGTCACCAGATCCCCTTGCAACTCAACGATCCGGAATTCTGGTATTTGGGATTTGCCGCCGGCCTTCGTCGACGCGGGCCTGCATGAAAATCGTTGTAGTCAACAAACGAAGTGCGCTCCGCTCGAAGAGCTCGTCCACGGAACTCACGTTTTCACGATTATTTGTACCATTCTTAACGTTGCGCGCTTCTGCTGAAGAAATGAGCAAACGTCTAAAAGAAACGATCGACTTATGGTGAATTCCGCTCGCAGATCTCGAGCGCTCCAAAAGCGCTCCATTTGGAGCGCGCATATTCCGCTCGCAGATCTGGCTCAAGTTGGTCATCTTCCGCTCGTAGATCTCTGGCAGCGCCCGCTCCACGGAGCGCCCCAAACTCCGCCGAACTTGCACTGCGGGGTTTCACAGATCTCTCCGGAAGTTGACAGAGCGGCCCACGTGATTTCCGTCTAAATCGGCGGTGCGCATGCGCGGCGAGGTTGGAGAGATCGGCGGGCCGGTTGGGTCGTGGAGTTGGAACTGTAGAACTGTGCGGGTGCGTCGGTTGTTTACTGTGGATTGTGACGGCTCGAACGCTTCTACTTCGCGTAGATCAGGGATAAAAAGCCGGGAATGTGGAGCGTGGCAAATCGTAAGCGCTGACATCTGTGAATGCGAGAGGAAGAACGAGAAAAAGAACGACAGAAAAGCCGGAGGAAGACGCAAGGTTAGGCCTATTCATTATGCAGCCAGTGATTGTTTACCTTTTTGCACTGCATTCCGTCGGCGTTTTCTCGTGAAATAAAACAAGAAGTGGTTAGGCAATGACCGCGCAAGTGATGGTTTGTTACCTCTGAGTTTATTAAAGTCGTACTACAAATCTGAACTCCACCGCTGCCAATCGCTGTCCGTGCCCCGCCGCTTCGAGGCGGCGGGCCGAAAGGTATGTGACGGTGCCGAACGCGGACTTCGTTATTTGTGACATGGGCGCCGTGGTACGTATAATTTCGCCCGGCCTGTGTCGCGTGTTACTTCTGCAGCTAAGCAGTGACAGTCGTCACTGGTCGTTGGAAAGATCAGCCGGCTGAGGCGTTGGGGGGACTGGTCAAGTTCGAGCAGCGGCCATTTTCTACGGCGGAGGGAGAAGGGGTGTGGGGAGAGGTCGCTCCAAAAATGCAAGTTTATCTTCCCCTCGTCGATTCGGAGCGGGTCCCACGGAGCGGAATTTTGCCTCCCTCGCGGATTTTGGAAGGCGCTCCAGATCTACGAGTGGAATTCACCATTAAATCTTCCTTACGTTAAAACCACTTCACGCGCGAAAGCAACAAAACAGCGGATCCCAGCTTTGGATTGGATAGATTTGACTTGATTCTGTTGACACCGTCGGGCCGCGGGCGCCAACTACGAATTCGTTTCGGTTTCAAACCGTAAATACAGCTCCGATTTTTTTACATTTTTTTGCTCGTTAATTTGTTTTATAATTTCTTTTCATCTAGGTTGTTCATTTTTTTCCTTTGCTTATGTTTCTAAAATTATTAAGTTTCGTTTTCTCCATAAAGTGCGCAAGTAGAAACCCTACAATAACTCTATGGCTCATACAGGCTTACTTACATTGCTTTGGGGTGCAGACTAAATTAATGTTGTATCGTCGTCGTGTCTATTTTTTCCAAAAAAAAAAAAAGAACTAGAAACAAAGAAAACAGTACTTGGCATAAAGAGCGTGCTGGTAGGGGTAAAATATACATAAGGGAAGGACCCTTATTTCTAAGAAAACAGTCTCACAACAACCGGTGTTGCAGATCTTTTTATTATTATTATTGTTATTATTATTGACACACACACACACATCACGTCTCCAGAGACATTCTGCGTATTCGTAATCTTTTTGCCATGCTTTTCTAGTTCTGGGTTATGATAACGACTATGATTGTTTGGTGGGCTCCTTGGGATTGATTAGATTATATGGATCCGTCGAGCCTCGAGCCCTTCGGCTCTTGAAATCGACTGCCATATTCATCCGTGCAACAAACTGTAGTTTATTTAATGAAACAGCAGTGTATTTTAAGCTTTAACAGCGATAATACAGCTGATCTGGTTTTATGCACTGCCATTGACAGGGTGATCTAATATTAACTTTATGTATGAGTATTCTCACACCCTTTGCAGAGCAAACGTTCGTCTTTCTTGCACAGGGGTTCCGTTGATGTCAGAACGCCAAGCTCTTATTGGGTGATTGAAAAAAATAGTGGGTATACCTCAAGCATCTAGCAGTGAGGTCCACCCATTATTCTTCCAATCAAAGCCAATCAGAGCTCGGGGTTGTTCTGACGTCACCGCAACTCCTGCGCAAGAAGCAGGCGACTTGCACACCACAATCCTTATACGTTTGTTAATATTGTTGCAAAAAATGACCGAGTGCATCATGACTAATTGCAGAACTTATTGTCCAAGAGTTGGTGCATGCACAGGCTCCATTTGAACTGTCCACTACATTTAAGAGACAACAGGATAATGCTCACTTTGTCAGATAAATAATTTGTACTCCAAGGGTCTGCCATCTCAAAGCTTTGCCGCAGCTGCAACAGAGTGAATACTCGGAGCTGATTTTTTCTGCAGTGATGTTTGAATACTTTTCACAATTATCTGTCATGTGTTAAATCTCCACCAGCAAAGATACATAATTTTGTTTTGTAGTATGTGGGTTACATTCAGTCTTGATAAGTTACCTTTAAAAAGTAATTAGTCACAGTTACAGATAGTTTGTAAAAAAAAATGTATTTAAGTTAGTTACTGCATCATATTAACTTTCAAGATACTTTCTTTTTACTATTATTTAACTATGGAGGCATTGATGACAGCACAATGACTACAGTGTATATTTATTTAGAACTCTCAGAAAACTTTCATTTCACTTTTTGAGCTATATATTAATACTGTCGCTGGGCTTTGTTGAATCGAGGCATTTGGTGCTTCGATACAGGCTGTACTAAATAATAAGTTAGTTAGTCCATGTAACGCCACCGCAAATACTTTGCAAAGTTATAACTCAGCTTTCCCCTTTTCATGACATGCTTTTCCTCACTAAAGAGGTGCTAACGGATGTGCTGGGCGGCAGTTCAGTATTAAGGCGTAAAAAGCTTTCCTAATGGCGAAAAAGTCGTTGAGACTGCAGAGCGCTCTTGAGGCTTCAGCCTTCCATTGTTCCGTCTCCATGCCTAGCGGTGGTGACCAGAAATAAAAGTCGAAACTCATTTCGAGGTGCTTGTGAAGGTTAGAGGAAGAGGACCTCTCTGCTGCGTATACTCTTTTGCAGTGTTTGCAGCAAGCACTGAAGTTATCGCCACCATATTTGAGAAGGTCAAAGTGCAGTTCATAGCCGGGCCACAGCAACACCTGCTGATCTGCTGTTCGTCACCCATGACAGCCTCTCGTTTCAGTGATAATGGTTAATTACAATCTAAATATTTCCATCTTTCTTGCGACATTCACTATCTGTCCCTTTCTTTTAAGAACTCTCCTATTCCCCTTTCTCAGCTGACAGGAAAGGGGATACCAATGAGCAGACGAGTCCATTATAATAGGGAGGGGAGCAGAAGGCTAAAACAATTTGTAACTGAATAAAGTGGAAAACACCGTTCCTACCAACAAGGTAAAGAAAAAAGTGAACAAAAACAACACAAAGTCTTCTCGAAATGCGTTACGCTTCTCTTAATTTCTTCTGTGCAATGCACAACAAAAAACTGGATTGTAGATCAAGGGCTCACAGCCCCTCGGAAAAGGCAAGTCGACCAATAGAAACATCGTCTGTGGCCCCGGTCAGACAGTGTCTTCCCTTGCGGAAACGCACTTTCGCAAAGAAAGCTATTGCCATGACTGCGGCAGAACCGGCGACAGAGGCTCTCGTTTGGCGTCAAACAGTCAACTGTTAGGTGTCTACACGTCGCGTGTTTGCGCGAGGTGGCTCTGTCGCTTGGATGGAGAGACGGGGGTACGATGGTGTTCGATGAGACCGGAAAGGTGAAGACAGGGCGAGAGAGCCCCGCACAAAAATATTGAAATAAAGCAAATGTTAAATTAGCTTTTCCACCTGATGAAAAAGGAGAAACAAAAGTAGAAAAACGCTGTCCCCCTTTGCTCTGATAAAAAAAAGTTAGAAAAGTTTCGAGTTATTTTATTTTGTCGTGTCTAATCTGGGGCCCAGCTTCTGCGGTCGAACCCGCTGTAGTTTTCACAAGATAGGGTCACTTCTTTTTCTCAAAAAGTATCTGTATCTTTGCAGATACTTTTAGTTAGTTTTTCAAAAAAGTATTTAAGTTGATGTTACAGTTACTGCAAAAAGATGTATCGAGTTACAGTTAAGTTACAAGAAAAAGTAAAAAGTTACGGTATCACAATACAAATATCGCTATACTACCCAAGACTGGTTACATTAAGCTACGGCATAAATGCTAAAGCGAGTATTGTCAATTCCAACTTTCTATTTTAAAACTCCATTTTCGCGACGTCAAATTTGGGGGTTTTACGTCCCAAACGAACGAAGGGCATCTGACCTGCCTCAGCAAAGAACCGAGAATTAATTTTGGCCACTCTGTGATCTTTTGACATGCAACCAAGACCTCGATTACATGGCACCTTCTCCACAACATGCTTCCGTCAGATTGCTAGCACATTGGCTGAAGTTTGAACCTAGCATCTAGAAATCCGTATGCGAGTGTCTTGCCTCGGATTCATTGAGGCAGCTAGCGTAGAAGTAGAATCACAAAGACACAAGAACAGAGAAAAATAATTTATGTGCTCTCCTTCCTGGAGGAGGGAGCCTTCCCTGGTCCCTAGACTAAACAGCTCCGTGCTCGTGGAGACTTGCGCCTGAGCAACCTCAGGTAGCGCATGCGGTCCCACACAGACTGGCACATCTTGGCCAGTCTGGGCTCCCGCTGTCCCTCGGCTGACACGGCAAACTGGTGCTGCTCCCTGTAGCCAAAACAAAAGCAAAAAAAGAGTGGCTTGGATTAGACATTTTGTCACATGCAATGCAAATAGCACTAACACCCGGTTCCTATCTCACTAGGTAGCCCCCGATCCAATGCAGCGGAGGGGGGAGG